CTGCTCTGCCACTGTGACTTATTTTTAAAAGGGACTTTTCTTTCTCTTCCCCTTTCCCCTCACTAGTCTCCAGGGAAACAGAATTACTTTTCTTCTCCATCCTAGGCAGAATTATCTGTCCTTGAGCACACACCCATCACAGGAACAAAGTAATTGGGGATCACACCAGAAGATCTCAGAAATGATTATCTCCTAAATTAACCAGTGAATCACAATTCCAGACAGAGAACAAGGATTAGAGCCTTCCAATCACCTCTTTAAAAGCCTCCTATTCCCCCTGATGGGCAGAATCACAGCCTCTGGAACAGGAGTTTCTTGTTTCTCCTCTGCTAGCAAAGCAATAAAACTTCCTTTTCCTTTTTCTCAAAATCATGTCCTTGTTATTGAATTGGCATCAGGATTAAGGACTGAATTTTTAGTAACACAACTAGATGATTCCCCATTTTATTTAACCAAAAAAGCAGGTACTATCTTAGGTACTAACTGAAAATATTCAGATTCTTTCCTCAAAGAACGGTAAATCTTACACAAAAAGTTTTTCTTTCCTCAAAGGTACTTTCCATCCAATGAGAATACGAGATAATGAGTGCTACAAACAAAACATTTAAAATTTTTTCTTTAGTTTTAAAGAAACTGATATGCATGGATTGCAACCCTGAGACATGTGCTGCCAAGCAAGCTGTGAAGTTATTCTTATACTGTTATGCTGGAGTTCGGGACTCCCAAAAGACCACCAGAGACCAAGATCAATGTAAGCAGCAAAGAGGTGTTTATTGCAAGCTAGCTTGGCCCTCCATGCACACAGCGACTGGTGACACTGAAAAGCCCCGAGCCCAGGGTTTGCAGCAGTTTTACACACTTTTTGGGGAAGGCAGGGATCCCACATACATCATAGCATCTCTTAGCAAATCATCACATACCTCGGAAAAATCATAAAACAACTCTAAAACATGATTAGCACATTCACTAGCGGGAACAAGTTGGTTAAGGGTGATTGGTTAGTACAAGAGGGGGATTCGTTTGAACTGATTGGCTTAAGCCACAAGGGGTGTACATGCTAAACTACATGGTTTCCCAACATGTTATCAACCACCATAAACTACTGGGTAATCAGGTATCCCAGGCACTTTCCTTGTCTCATGCTGATTGGTAGTTGCTAGGAGGTTGCTATGGGTCCTCACCTAGCCTGACTGAGTCAGGGACACCTGGCGCCTCAGACCTCTCCTGTTATTTGTAGATAAACAACTCAGCAGGGTGAGTATGTGCCTAGGAGTGCTCTGTGGGTTTTTCCAAGGACAAGGGTCATGCCCCCTTCCTTGGACAGGCTTTGCTCTGAGGTAGAGGCTGGTTTCTCAGAAATGGAGTCACATGAGTTTCTCAATACATGGCTTCAAAAAATCTCTATGAGTGGGCATATAGTTATAAACTAAATTTTAATAACATCGTGAATATAAGTAGGCCTCTATTAGTGTGAAATTACATTAGTCATTTAAAATTAGCATATATCTTAGAGATTACTAAGAAGAAAGTTTGTTTTTCAAAATATTTTTACTTCTTGTCATTGTTCAATATGGTTTCTAGAGACTGTATTCTAATTTTGGCAACTCTCATGAGCTCGGAGTATCTACTTTAAAGTGCCCACTTTGAAATATGGTAATAAAGCATTTGCTTAAAAAAAAATCTCACAGGATACCATTAAGTTTAGTATTAGAATGTATTGAATCATTACTATTAGATGGTATTTATTACTCATTTTTAGGATCATCCTCCAAATACAATTTGTTCATTAAAAATAATACATTCTGAAGCTGGGCAACAGGGCACATGCCTGTGATCCCAGTGGCTGAGGCAGGACGATTGCCAATTCAAAGCCAGCCTCAGCAAAATCAAGGTGCTAAGCAACTTAGTGAGACCCTGTCGCTAAATAAAATACAAAATTGGGCTGGGAATGTGGCTCAGTGGTTGAGTGGCCCTGGATTAAGCCCCCGATTACCACCCCCCCCCAAATAATAATACATTGTGAGCCAGGCAAAGTGGTGCACACCTGTAATACCAGCAATTCAGGAGGCTGAGGCAGGAGTGTCACAAGTTCAAGGCCAATCTGGGGAACTTGGTGAGGCCCTGTCTCAAAATTTTAAAAAAGGCTGGGGATGTAGCTCAGTGGTATTGCATACCTAGGTTCAATTCTCAATACAATAAAAAGTTTGAAAAAAGGAAAAAAAATGATACATTGTGGATTATTTAAAATATTTGTAAATTAAATTTACCTGACGCTCACAGCTCTGAATTTAAAAGGAAAAACAGTTAACTTAAATAAAGCATTCTTCTATACGAAGCAATCCCAACTTTTGATGTAAGAACTTGGATCAAAATATTGCTTGGTTTGACTTCAACCATGACATTGGCAACTTTCTTGGCTTTGCTTCCTTGAGTTGAAAAAGTCTGTTTTTGAAGGAATCTATTTGTTTTTCAAGTTTTAAAGAGACAAAACTAATGATTTTAGTGGTTGGAGCGCACAGAAGGGGACCACACAAATAACTATTTCATATGTAGATTTTATTTATTTTCCTGGATGGAGACAAAAACAATATAATATTTTCATGTTCACATGAAAAGTTACTTTTTTAAAACTTACATTAAGTAGTCTGAATTATAAAATGTTTATAAATGATTTAATGGATTGAATCAATGTCATCCATGATTATTTCTGAAAATGAATTGCAATTAAACTCCGAAATCTTGTACAATTTATTGTCTTAACTCTATTTTGATTTCGAAAATACGTAATTAAAATTTTCATGTTTCTCAAAAATCTTACAAATTCACTGCATTTGATACTGTAAAATAATTTCAAAGATAGTAAAAGTTACAATTATAACCAGACTGAAAATTGATGACTCATTTAATAAATAACCCATATTTTTAATAATGTCAAGATCTGAAAACTAGTTTTACCTGTTATTAAAAGAATTACAAATGATTGAAATTCCATATTCACTAACCTTCAACACAAATTTTACGAAAGTTCATCTTTAAAAGATACAAATTAGACAAAATGCCCACTAACTGGGAAATAGGTAGTGACATTCACACAACAGATTATTATTTAAAATCAAAAATCAATGAACCATGGCTTGATTCATCTTATCGAATGAAAATTTCTGAGTAAAAATAAAGGTTCCATAATCATGCATACAGTATGATTCCATTTAGATAAAATTCAGAGTCAAAACTAAAACAAAATAAAACTACTTTTTAAAAAATGAATGATTCAATTTAGATAGTGGTTAACTCTGGAGGAGGAAAGTGAATGTAATCAAAGAGAAACCACAGCAGGAACCAAATGTCTGAGTGATGTTCTATTCTTCATTGCTCAGGAGGTGGTGAGTACTTAGGTATTTATTATTCATCTTTAAACTGTTCACATTTTATGCACTGTGGAAGAAATAAGAAAATGGAAACCCTGTATGTAGACAACTCTTTGAAGAGCTTAATTTTAGTTGAGGCATAAAGAAAAATAGAAGGAAGAAATGTGGGTGTTGAGAAGTTTTGCTCTTAATGCAGAGAGCATCTAAAAGCCACAGGAAGGTTCCACTTGATGGGAGAAGTTGAAGAGAAGATAACTGCTGAAGCAAATAATCTGAGTTGAAGGGAACAAGTTACAAGGCACATCTGAGAGACTGCTCTTTAAAAGGAGGAGGATTGCTACCAAATTCATTGAAGGGAAGGAGGAAAGGATGCTAATGAGTACAGCAGATTTATACACTTGATGTGGGGAGGCTAAGAGATGTTATGCACGATAACTTTTTCCTCTGAAATGAAGAAAGGTTATTGGCTGAAAGTGGAAGGACAGAGTTTCAAGAAAAAGTGGAGACATGAAATGACCATTTTGAAGAGTGAAAACGCAAACTAACCACAAATAAATGCTGGTGGGCTTTACCATTTTACCTTCCCTGCTAACATGGCCTTCGTCTAGAATGTTTCCCTCTTTCTTCACCTAGAAAATCTTCCCATTTCAAGCCTCATCTCAGAATGTCCTCCATGAAACCTTTTCTGATTATTCCTTAACAATCCTTTCCTTTAAATTTTTTTAACAATCGACAGTATTACTCAATTTTCACTTATTCAGATATCATCTTGCAGTAAGTCTAGTGTCGCACACGACTCCATGTTTGTGGTCTCTTGTTAACTACAGTTCTTCACAGCAAAAATCATGCTTTTCTTTTTTCACTGTTATTCCCACTTCCAGAAAAATAGAGCATTCCCACACACACAGTGAACATTCAAATTCATATTCTAAACATATCATCTACTGAAACAAATATCCTTAAATTATAAAGTAATGAATACACATAGGAGTGGTGGTGCAAATCCCAGCTACTGAGAAGTTTGAAGTAGAAGGATCACAAATGTAAGGTCGGTCTTGGCAACTTGGTGAGAGCTTGTCTAAAAAAGCTGGGGATAGAGCTCTGTGGTAGAGTGCTTACCTAGTGTGTGCCAGGTTCTGGGTTTCAATTCTCAGTACCACCAGAAAAACAACAACAAAAAAGGAGTGGTGGTGGGGGAAACACTAACATGAATATGTGCAGAACTTTGAAACTTCCATTATTTTGCTGGTTTTCTATTTTTAGCTTTATAACTTCCATTTTAGAAGTAAAGTCAGAGATCTGATGTTAACATAATTTAACACTTTCTAAAAACTGCTCCTGGTGAACTTCTTCATCATTACAACTTTTAAATATCATTTCTTCATGGAGGTGGTTCTCCCAGAAAATGAGGCAGAAATGTTATCGAAAAGACAAATTATGTTAGGCATGCCATCTTGTGGTTGAGAGTAGCCCATACACAAATGGATCCTTTCAGTGACAATATTTATTTCAGAAATAAAATATCCAGTAAATTTGCAAATATAAATCTTAGTTAAAATCTATTGTCACTACATAGTAATGCAAATTAAATGTGTGTTAGTGTTTTGTGTAGCTGCAACAAAACAAGAAAAACACAGAAAACAAAACACTTTATTGAAGGGTTAATAGATCAATTATATAGAAATGGATTCCAATAATATGGGAAAGCTGCTGTCTATAACAATACCTATACCTTTATTAACAATTTTGGAGAACTGACCTCTTGAAATAGGTAATTTTATTTCTATATCCACTTCTAAGTACTTCTGTTGACTGTTACATCCTGGATTTAAATACTATCTTGCTTTCAAATTTCATCCTCCTTCTGCCCTTCACTCCCCTTTGACTGTTTATAGTTAAACAGTCAAAGGGGAGTGAAGGGCAGAGCACTTATCTAATATAATTAGATAATTGTAGGAAACACACAATTAATTGTAGTTCAAAATTGAGTTTGAAAATGATTTAAAATACTGGCCTTAACCTTTATAGATGAATTTACTAATTCCTCCAAACAAGTTAGCTATTTTGAGCAATAAAAACTTTCTAGCCAAAAGAGAAATAGTAAATTGTTACAAGCAGTGTACTTAACAATTGTGCTTAAATATTTTTAATTGCAAAACTGAATATATTTTGGTCCATTTAAAAAGTGGAGATGAGGGAACAGAAACTGACATAGCCCTCAAGAGCACAAAGCAAAGCATATGATAGCAGAAGGTTCCATGTACTTTGCCACCATTTGTCACTTCTAGATTAAGGATTGAAGGAGGTATATGTAGGTATAATGATCTGTCCTAGAAATTAGGCTACTGAAGTTCCAAAAATTAACAGATAAATATATACACATATATACATATACATTTACATAGAAACAAATGCTGTTGTACTCCAAATCAACTTTTGAGATTTATTATTGCATACTTATCAGCAGGAAACAATATTCTACTCAGAAAACCTTCCTATGAGTTGATTTTGGATTAGTTTTTCCACATGACTCTTCAGGGCATTTATATCAGCTGAACAAACCTGATACTCCATCTTCTCTTGCTGTTTTGTTCTCTCTAGTAAAGCTTCATGTAGTGGAGGTAATGCATTGTATGAACCCAATAAATAAAGCTGACTTGATGAAGTTTGGTTGATTTCTTTTATCTTTAAAGCCTGCATAATAGCAGGTGCAAACTTTGAGTAATGAGCTGTAGATGAGACAATCACTGGGCAAGTTTTGTCTTGCATTCTGTCTGCAACCACTTTTGCAACAGCAGTGTGTGGATCCAAAATATATCCTGAAGCATTATAGGTAGAATTAATAGCTGCTAGGCACTCTCCTTCAGAGCACCAGTCAGCTACAAAATCCTGCTGAAGTTTCTCAACTAGAATCTTTTCAATTTGGAAGTGATGGTGATTTTCTAACTGATTAAATAATTTTGTCATTAACTGCCCATCTTTATTAGCCATCAAGTGTAAATGTCGCTCCAGGTTTGAGGATTTGAGAATATCTATTGATGGTGAAAAAGTTTGAGCTAATTTTCTTTCCCTTAGATCATAATGTCCTGTTTTTATAAAATCGGTCAAAACATGGTTCTGATTGGAGGCACAGATAAATTTTCGAATAGGGATTCCCATCATCTTGGCATACACTGCTGCTAATATGTTTCCAAAGTTTCCTGTGGGAATACAGACATCTACTGGGCTTCCAAAAGAAATAAATCCTTGGCTAACGAGATCAAGATAGGCAGAAGCATGGTAAACTACCTGAGGAAGCAGTCGGCCCCAGTTTATGGAATTAGCTGAACTTAATATTGTTCCATATTCCACAGTAAGAAAGCCAGTGAAATCAGAATCTTTAAAAATTCTTTTTATAGCTGTCTGGCAAAAATCAAAATCTGACTTGACACCCACTGCCCATGCATTTTCTCTCTGACTGCCAACTATTTGTGCTTTCTGAAAATCACTTACTCCATTCTCAGGAAAAAATGTGATCACAGCTATTCTTTGCTTCTCATTCTTACTAAGACGACTAAAACCATTTAAGACTGCACTCCCTGTGTCTCCTGAAGTAGCTACAAGTATCATATAATTGCAACTTGGTGGAATGCAGTGTGCAAAAATATGAGGCATAAGCTGTAAAGATAAATCCTTAAATGATCCTGTTGGCCCATGAAACAACTCCAGGATGAACTGGTTGCCTGAAAGGTGCCTGACAGGAGCAATTTTTGAGCAGGCAAAGTTTTCCCCATAAGCAGTTTCAATCATTTCTCCCAATCTGGCAGCAGGTATGTCTGCAGGATGTATACACCTTTCCAACAGTATCTGTGCTCTTTCTACATAAGTTGCTCCTACTAGGTTTTTCCACTCCCCACAGCTTAATTTTGGGAACTCCTTCTCAGGAACAAACAGTCCACCATCAGAAGCTAAGCCCTCAATCACAGCTTCGCTAAAGAATTTTGTTGAAAGCTTCTGTTCACAGTCTTTAGGATAAACATGCCTTGTTGAAATGAATGTTTCTGAGTCCACATCTTGGTACCTTTTAACTTCATTCAGCACTTTGTCAGCTATCACCTCTGGGGAAGCCCCACTTTCACAAAGAACTCGAGCATCATACCACTTCTTATAATACTGTTTCCTAAACTTAAGTAACTCTTTCATAGACGTTCCAGAATTCTGACCTACAATTCTATTTATCTTCATTAATTTTAGACGACTAATTATATCCATTAGGGGTACATCCAGGTATACAATTATGCCATTTTTCTTTAGATGCCACATGCTAGCATCATGCATGGGATTGGATCCAGTGAGGGAAATCACACTTCCAGATGCAGAGAAGTTTAACACAGCTTTTCCTTCCTCTTCTAAAAATTGCTCATTGCCAACATCCTGTAATTTTTCAGACACACTCATATTCCAAGTTTTTTCAAGAATATCATCATCCACATCTATGACACAACGACCTAGTTTCTGCCCTATAATTTTGCCTACTGTTGTTTTTCCAGCACCAGGAGGTCCCATTAGGATAATATTTTTGTCTCCCAAAAGAGAGTGGGTTGAACACCATGACTTCCTTAATTCTGTGAGTGCAAAGGTTCTTGAAAGAAATAGTGGTGTACATTTATCTGTTTTAACATATATACTAGAAACACATTTTTGTGTTATCTGTTTCAGATGCTGATATCGGTTAAAACGGAGCATTCTCTTCGATTTTCTGTCTGAGCCAATTTAATAATTGAGTTTAGCCCTTTTAAAGACATAAAAATAAAGAGACAATTGGTTACAAGATCAACAAACTATTAAAATACTGATAGGTTTGAATATAATCATGCCCACTATACATAAACTGTTTAAAAGTCTTCCAAGTGTATGGGACACTTAAAAAAATAGCCCATATATTACATATTACTCTTTTTAACAGTATCTTTTCCAATCTCAAAACGCTTGGGAAAAAAACTCAAAAAATAAGTATGATTCCCAGAACCACAAAAAGTAACTATAAACAGAAAACTCAGTCAGAAATGTCACATCAGATGTTTAAAAAATATATACTAAATAAAATCAGTGTGTACTTTTATGAAATACTGTAATAAAAACTGCTTTATGGTTTATTGATTTATATATTTTATAACAGATGCAAAGAGAATTTGGGGTTGGAGTAGTAATAACTTTTCATCACAAAGATGAACAATATTCTTTATATTCAATTTCTCTAGTTATATGAACAGGTTGATGGATTATCATGTTACTTATCAAGTTCTTATAGAATTCACAGCAGAAAACTAGAATAAAAGAACATATTTGCTTATAAAATGCTTAATTTTCTAAACTACAGACAAATGTATGACATTTTCTTTCCTGTGTGCTTTTTACATGCATATTAAGAATAATACCTACATATTATTCATATGAAGGCCTTAAAAAAGCCAATGTGAAAGGTATAATATGCAAATAGCTAAGAAAAAGTAATAATCATCATAAAGTCAAAGGTTATGTCTATAACCTTATCTATATGGGCCCATTGTTTTTATTTCTATTCCTATAACATCATTAGTGGCAAGACTTAACTCAAATTCCAGACTCCAGAGAAGACAGCCAAGAAATTCAGGGAGGTTTCCAATGATGAAAGGAAAAAATTATTCTGGCCTCTAAAGATCCTCTACAATTCTCCATACTGATCAAGTTCCTGTCTTTGGAAATATACTCAGTGGTGAGTAGGCTAGATAAGTCAATTTTTTTTGTCATGCAAAATGCAATTTAATAATTATTGCAATAGTCACTCAAATTGAAGTAACTTTATAGTAAGGCTTTTCACATGTTCTCTAATTATAACTAATATGTGACTAAGTCATGCCAAATATTAAAGGGTAGGTTTAAATATGTTCTGAAAACTTTTAATCATGTACTACTGATTAAGCTAAATTAGTAATTTAATGTTTAAACAATTTAAGCTAATTTTGAATTTAACTTACAAGTAAAAACTGTCAAAAGAAAGAATTCATTCCCTTATTTGATTTTTCAGCTTGTGTGTTTAGGGCTTGACTCCACTGACTTATAAACATGGGATACACAGGAACCAATCTTAGACGACGAGTTTGTTGATTCTGGAGCAAAGGTGATTTCTGCAAAAAAATGAAATCTATAAGAGAAAAAATTTCAAGTTAAACATAACTGCATTCGGTATCATAAAATTCTACAACTATTTTGCTATGCGGAGTCTTATCCTTTCCCTTGAATAATCCAACGACCAGAGAGAACTGTACACTTTAGTACTACATGCTATAAGGGCACTGTGTTAAACAGCCTGATTAACCTCCCATTCAAGAAGTTTCTGCCTAAAACATTACAGAGTGTCTGCCTTTGTGTTTGCAATTCATAACTTTCTTTTTGATCTCTGTATCAGGAATTATTGTGCATTACCTGAGTAACTTGAATCTTTTATCTTTCACTTTATGCTGGTTGCTACAATGCTTAACATCAACTTCATTATGAGAAGATTATAAGGCAAACATTACATGTGTTAACTTTACCTTTTGCAATCTGCCTTTTTCTTACTTCCCCTACACCCTCTCATTTTTTATTTTATCTCATTTCCCTTTTTCAAAAGAGTCTGGGGGAGCAAAATGGATATGAATTAAAGAGAGAAAATGATTACAGTTCAATTTATAAATTCTGTATCAATATTCTTTTACTACAAATCTTCCTTAGATTAGCTGAAGGCAGTTAAGTGCTACAACATAGGATGAACATTACCATTTCTAAAGAAAAATAAAGATGAATTGTATTTTAAGTTATACACCAAATTTGATTTTGTAACATCTAGCCATAAATTAATTTTAGAACCTTTATACTCAAGTCTATTTTAAGCTAACCAAGACAAAAGAATATGGAATAATGCCCCCACATATAACATTCTGTAAACTGGATTTTTACTTAAGAGGTAATACTATTGATTCTCATTATCCATGGTAATTATGTCCAATAAAGTCTTTACTGTTGTTGACTACTGAACCATTATTCCCAGAGGAAATATAGGGTTAGGTTCCTGTGAGACTCTGGGTACAAGATTCTTGCTAACCCATTAACATGTAACCTTTATGTGTGTTTCCACTTAAAGACATTTATACTGTTCATCTCTTACTGTGAATTCAGTCAATAGCACGGTAACTCAAGCCTGAATGAAGCTAATCACACAAAACTGTTTTCTCTGTAAGGCACATCACAACAGCCTTCTTGCACCTAGGAACACTACACAGCACTTCAGCTTAGGGACCATTTAATCAGCAAAGTCACTCACTAACACACAAAAACGTGGAAATGTGGCACTAAATAGAATGTGAAAAAGATATTTGTTTATAACACAAGAACTAAAACAAGAAGGCAGCATCACCTTGTTTGACCTCAGCTAGGAACACGCATGTGACACTACTCAAAATTTTCACTGCTTTGCATTTGTCCAGGAATGTCTATAAAAGTGGTACTCAAGTGTCGATGTGGCAGTTACAAATATATTTCAGCTAGCAGATCAAAAATATAGAATTTGTGAATAGTGAGGATCAACAGTAGATCATTTTTCTTTTATTCAAAATGATTTTATTAAACCTTTTCACTTATTAATATTTTAATATGTTCTTCATTATAGTGATCATGAATAAGCAATTTTTCTTCAAAGGGAAAAACTACCTGAACTGAAATGGAGGGCAATCATATAAGAGTCAAAATCAAAAACTAGTGAAAAGCAAATATCTTAGCTATTCAGAAGACTGAAGCAGGAGTATCACAAACTCAAGGCCAGCCTGGGAACTAAGTAAGACCCTAAGTTTATTTTAATAAAATCAAAAGGACTGGGGATGTAGCTAAGTGGTAGTGTTTGGCTAGCATGTATTGAGACCATGGGTTCAAACCTCAGTATTGCAAAATACAAAACAAAACAAATACTTTGGACATCAATAATCAGGTTTCACTGTATTGCTAATTCTGAATATTTTTTGGTCAAGCAAGTGCTCCACAAAAATACTTTACATTCCTTATTCCACAGATTTCCACACAACTCCATTACATATTAGTTTTTTTTTTTTCTTTTTTTAGTGCCAGGGATCCAACCCAGGGCCTCATAGATGGTAGGCAAGATATCTACCACTGAGCTACAAACCTAGCTCCTCAAGTTAGCAATTTTTAAATGAGTTTCTCTATTAACCACATTTATAGCGGAACTTTTTTGAACCACTAATTCCAGTGGATCCTTCATAAATATAAAAGACATTTTATATTCAAATAGGTAAACAAAAAGGGTGTGTCAGCATGATAGCTTTAAGAAATAAATCCAGGATGTCCACCTGTACATATGAATTCAAGTACTGTATGACCTCAGGCACAAGATATAACAATTTTACTGTCAAAAGCTGACCAAAATTAAAGATTTCAAAAGGAAAAATTATAGAAAACACTAAAATTTTTCCTATGAATGCTAATATGCTTACGTATTTAAACAAGTACATACTAGTTTTCAGCAACCTTTTAACAGTATCTTAACAGTATCTTTTAACAGTATCTTACCATTATATGTTAATCAACTAAAATTATATTCTAACGTATCAATTTGTACTTCCAAATCATAAAATTTTTTTAATTTACTATAGAATTATCTAGTTTTCAAATCTGTGGACTCTTAAAACCCTATTTAACCAAAACTATGTATTATTTGCTATAAATTTAAAAGATTTGCTTGCTATTATATGCCTTTCCAAAACACAAGACAGACCACTTCAAAAATTATTTCATGAGAACTGGCTGTAATCCAAGGATCTTCTAAAAGAAAGTCTATGCCATGAGTATGCTCATCATTCTAAATTAATATTAATACAATTTCTTTTTAAAATTTCTCAGAAAAGTGACTCTCTAGCTCATTATCTTATAAAGAAGAGTGTTCTGATGTTTTCAAAAATTCTTTAAATTTACTGCACTTTTATGGCAACTGTAAGATGGAAATGTTCTAGGGATATACCAGCCAAGGGGAAGAAAAGGTCTGCTGTTTCTGACTACAGACCCCAAAACCTAAGAGGCCTTCAGTTAGTCCCCTACCTCCCAGGAAACAGACAAGGAGAGCTGGTGGAAGGAGCACATAGTGTAAGGCCACAGTGTAATCACAAAGATCTTACAGCCATTTTACAAGTTCATCACTTATCTTTGTTTTTAAATTGCTATCAAATCCGAATAAGCTTTTCCTGTTGTTAGATTGTTAGTCCTGTTGTTAATGGTTCATACCAAATAGCCTCAAGTATTTGATTGAAAAGATTTTCAAGTATTCTTTCAACACTATAAAAATGTTACTTTTATGAAGGGCTTATTTTCCTTTCAAACTGTCTTATTTATATCACTATCGATAGCCATTTTTATTTAAATATATTAAAATAATCATTAGCAAAAAACGCCTAATTTGCTAATGTACAGTATAGTACAATTTACACTAGATATCTGCACAAACACTTAATCTAGCCCATCACTGTTTTTGTAAACTGCTTCACTGAAATACAACTTTGCTCGCTGGTCCAGGCGACGCTGCTCACGCACAGGTCTGCAGAAAGCAACAGGAGAGGGAAGGTCCCCCCCCCAGAGGGTAACGGGGACGGAGAGCTCACCAGGTAGCTCAGGAAAGAGCAGAGGGCCAAGGGGGAGGGTAAGGGCGCCACAGGTGGAAGGAGCAGGTGGACGCGGGAGGGCGGGCGTGCACTTGCACAGGTGGTGGGCAGGGTTCCGCAGGGAGGGAGGGGTCTGAGAAGCCTCAGACGGAAACGGCAGGTAGAATAGCGCAGAAATTACAATTGAGCAGCGGAAAGAAGGAACGATGGGAGAAACGCATGCGATGGAAACAGATTGGTCTCTACTTTTCCTTTCTTTCTCCTCCAGTAACTCACCAAGAAAATCACACTGAGAAGACGGGGAAAAGGAAAGGAAATAGAAAGAGTCCATAAACCGCCAGTACCGCCTCAGTAGACAGCCCCGTAACCCCGGCTCTCAGCAGGCCCGCCCCGCCCCGCGCTGCGGCCTCAGCGCCTGCGCCGACCTACGCGGCCACGCCCCACGCCCGAGCTCCGAGCACTGGGCACGTGACTCTCTCCTGCGCTCCGCCCTCCAAGCTCCAGGGCTCCTCCCCGCCCTCAGGTCCCGCTCGCCACGTGGGCCTGTGCGTCAGCTCGGCGGTAGAAGCTTTCCTAGCCCCAGCCAGGATTGGGGCCTGCGCACTAGAGCTTTAATGTTTGACGCTTGCGCACCGCTGGGTTTCGGCTGTAGTAGAATTTTTTTCTCCAAACGTAAAAAGTGAGAAAAAAACAAAATGTTCTAGAGGACACTGTTTTCATCCCTTTTTTCCCAAAGGCACAGGGGCTTCCATATGAATTTGTCAGACAGGAAAAAAGCCTTGCAGAAAGACAAGAGGAAACCTGGTTTGCAATGCGGCCTTCCATCTCCCCGTCGCCTAGTAACTGTTTCCACAGCAACCGCAAGGCCAACAACGCTAAGCATTCCTGGGAGGAATAGACAGGGTATTTTCTTTTCTTCTCCAGAGAGAACTGCTAAGAAGGGGTCAAAGGGGGGATTATGTGAAAGAGAAACCTGAGTTCCTTGAGAAAGCAAGGAAGCAAGAAAAAGAAAGGGGAAGCTGTGAAGAAAGAGACTGAGATACGGGTATAGTGAGAAAAAAGTTGAGAACACTAGTGAAGAAGTCATTTGGTGATGATGGATTCATCGTGCTTTACTGAGAGCATTTATAACCTCATACCCAGTGACTTGAAGGAGCCGCCTCAGCCTCCTAGGTATGTGGGTAAGCAAAGGTTGTAAACAAGAATAAGAAATAATGATTCCATGTCCAGATTAACTAAGTATACATAATACAGGACTTTCTTTTTTTTTTAATTAATACCAATATGATTTTATCGGAATATTTATGGACTCTTAAAAATAAAATATATTTTTGTCTCAATGAAGTAACCTTGGATGACGACTTCTTAGAGGTTGAAAAATCTAGGTGTTTAGCTTTTCACATTTCAGATGACAGCCCCATGCTATAAGATGGTAATTTTATTATGTTACACTTAGCCTCCTATTAATACATTGTGTCATTTTTGTAACTTATCTAATTATATGTGATGTGTTATACAAAATAGCATAATATGTCATGATGTTATTCAAAAGAAAAAAATCAGTTTTATTATTCTGTATAAGGACATTTGATGTTTGATTTCAGGAGCCAAGTGTTGTATTTCTAACTGCACTACTACTCCCTCTCTAAAGGCAGAATATTTTCCCCAAAGATTATTGTAAAATAAAAATTCCCATTTGTTTCTGAGCCTCGGTCTTTTGATTGGCTAAACAAAGTAGATAGAATATATTTTAAGGTCTTTTTTCAGGTTTAATGGAATAGTGGAGTGAATAATAGTTGGCTAGCGACCCAGAAATATGTAATTTAGTTAAAATTTTAACAAAATTGTTAGTACCCACTAATTTCACCCAAATCTCACAAAGGGAACCACAAATAAACAGTCCAGTTACTTGCCTGTGTAAGTACTTCTTAGAACTTAATTAAATCTGTGGGGAAAAAAGTTAACTGGTAGAGAAAATCTTTTTCCTCATAGGTTTTGAAATATATTCTTTCATTTATCTTTATCCTGTTCCTATATATGTCAATATTACCTTTAAAAGAGCACTGGGCTAAAAAAAATAGACTCTAAAACTAAATTTTTATTTGTTTTTCAATCTGGAAAACAAGTGGATTAGATAGTCTCAAAGGTCTCTTTTGAGTATGACATCAATAATTTTTACTTATCATTTACTTGGGGTGTGTAGCAAAACAAATGGGCAAGTCATTCAGTTTTAAACCTGAGCATCTGGTTTTAATTGGAGCAATACCTGTATTGTATTTCCATTAGTTTCTTAAAATCTAGTAGAAATTGAAAAGAGGAGTGTAAACTAAACTAGGATACAGTTTTCAGAGTTTATAAAAGAAAGTTCAAATCATGTATTGCTGACCCAACTTTTGGTCCAAAATTCCTGTATACTATACAAGATAAAGTTCCTCCTCTCTGTAACACCTTGGTAGGTTGTACTTTCTATAGAATACTAAATTTGAATGTTAAGATATTTTCTTAGATATGTATTATGTTCATTAGTGAATTTAAAAGCTTTACTGTATCTAGACTTTTTTTTCCAAAAAAAAAAATAATTTGATCACTTAAAAGAATAATCACTATTCATTTGGAATGCATTAATTGAGCTCCTATTAAGTGTATAACAGTGCTAGTATATCAGTTCTTGGAGATGTTGGAGTGGCAGCAAAAACTCCTTGCCTTGCTTTTATTCTGAAGAAATACATAGAAAAAGGACTAAGTGAGAGGAAATGAAAAGCATCCAAAAGTGGTGCCAAAAGAACATTCTGTTATGGTGAATTCAGTTTTCACCATCAGTAACAATCTGTACTATTATACCTATAAATTCTGAAGTCTTTCTAACATTTACTTTCTTAAAGTCTCATTGACTTTGCTGAACAATCTGTTTCTTGACTATTATGAATTCTTAGATGACATAGTCATTTTTTTAGAGAGAGAAGAGAGAATTTTTTAATATTTATTTTTCAGTTTTCGGTGGACCCAACATCTTTATTTTATTTTTACGTGGTGCTGAGGATCGAACCCAGCGCACATAGTCATTTTTATCCTGAGGATCTTTCCTATTTAGTTTGCTGAATTTAATTGCAAGAATTTAATTGAGGAAAGCAGCAAACTTTTTATGAACTTATATTCAAAGAAAGAAAATTCCAAAATCTTTTGTTTTCGGCATAATGAAATTTTATACTAAAATTACCATTGCTGCAATCTATGGTCTCAGTCTTATGATAATTTCAGAATCTACTATTCATATTTCTCCTCTAGCTAGGCAATCCCTGAAGATTTCCACAATAATAAAACACTATCTTATCTCTTATATTACTTTTATCCAAATGCTCTTTTCATGTTTATACAACACATACACACACACACACACACACACACACACACACACATACACACACACACACACAGTTAGACCTTACTTTTTATCTAAAAGGTTCAAATCATCAGGAAAAACAGTTAAACAAATGAAGATATGGTACAATTAATAGAATCACTTAAGTAATGTAGAAGAATTTAAAAATCTGGGAAACTATGTAATGGAAGGGATAATTCAAAAAAGACTATTTTCCCCTTTAAACATACAAATGAGGGGAAGGACAAATCGGATTTTTGTTAGCAAGGGAAATCACAGCTACCATATGCAGTTATTGGCTTGCTATTTATTCATTTTGAGTTGTTACCTCTCAGATTTCTACAGATAAAATAACACATAGTAAGAGGTCTTTATATATACCTTAAGATGTTGAGAGATAAAATATGCCAACACCATTCTTTAGAATTTGTTGCCAGGGAAATTTGTAGGTCAGTGAACTTTTTTAAAGAAGATTATTCAATTAAAAAGTAAGGATTAATATCTTAAGCAGTATATATAATATATTGTGGTATAAGAAGTTGTTTCTAGCCAGGTGCGGGGGTGTACACCTGTATTTCCAGTGGGGAGGCACAAGTTCAAAGCAAGCCGCAGCAACAGAGAGGCGCTAAGCAACTCAGTGAGACCCTGTCTCTAAATAAAATACAAAATAGGGCTGGGGATATGGCTCAGTGGTTGAGTGCCTCTGAGTTCAATCCCTGGTAACTACCCCACAAAAGAGGTTGTTTTTAGAAGAAAAGTGTGTTAGTCTGTGTGTATCTGTTTATTATCTTAACCAGACACCGTGACTCAAATTCTTAAGAATAAGACTGTCCTCAAGGACACAGGTAAGATAAAGGGGTATGTAGTTTTAGTTTTTAAAAATTTAATCATGATGGATATCCAATAATAAAAAAAATAATGCTATTTCTATTAATGTGTTCGGTGTATTAGTACTATCATCATTTCCCATTTTCTTTGATATCTTTGCCCCAATACATTAGAACAAAGAAGTATTATAAATAACAAAACTATATACTACATAGTAAATCATTAGAAGACTAAAATATGCACACTATTGAAGCAAAAAGTGCTTATTAGTTTCGTTTCATTTATTCAGGCAGTGTGCAGACTGATTAAAGATCTGGGCCTTAATATCAAATTTGTGTCTCAGTCTCAGCTCCTGTTCTTCCTCTCCACGTCAACTTTACAGGCCTGTTTTTTCTTCCATAAAACTAAAATAATATTACTTATCTCTTAGGGTTGTTTTGAGAATTAAATTATTATTGTGAAAATCATAGAATAGTGACAAATATTAAGCAGCAATAAAGTAATAATTATACTCAATGGCATACAGTGTTGTAACCAATTAAGTGTAGAGCCTACCTTAGACAAACAACTAGGCTAGAGATAGAATTGGTGTCTGTTTTTGAAAAATTAATTACTAGATATAGTCATGAGACTGAATTAAAGACTCTCACTTCAATGCCGATAGGTGAACTTACGGAGTATTGATTTACCTGTAAAAATTCTCCACAAGAAATAATGTGAAGAACTTTCTAATAGAGTCTAATCTCCAGAGTTTGTTGTTCCACAAAGGAGTGTAACATTGCAATAATATTGGCCTAAAATTTAAAGATAGACACACACACACACATACACACACACACACACACAGTTGTTACTCAGTTGCCCATCTTCATTCATTAGGGGGGAAATATCCCTATTAAGTTTTTTCAAACTATCCCAACTTTTGAGCACTATCATTTTTTGTGTGCCTCATGCTAATGATCTGACTTATTATGTGGTGATGGTTGACAATATGATGTAGTTGTGTCACATTTATTGAAGATGACAATAATGAATTATTCTAGCCTGTCAAATAATAAGTAAAAAATAGAGCCAGTTATAACATTATAGATAAGTAGGCTCACAAAAAAAATTTGAATCACAAAATTGCAATTTAAAAAGAGGTAGGAGTAGATGTACATTGTTTCATTGTTATTGATTATGACACCATTTCTTCCAATCCCAACTTCCATGGGAA